ATATAAGCAAAATAAATAAGTAAATAAATAAATGCTTAAATTCTTTTGTTTCTTTTATAAACTCAGGTAATGTTATTTTGTGAGGTAAACTTCTCCAAACTCCAGTTCCTTTGACTGGAAAAAGTACCCTCTTTCATATTTAAATGAAGTAATGTGTATAAGGGCAATCAGCAAATAGTAGGTGCTTAATAACTCAAGCTAATATCAATCCTATAGATTGTATTATCCTATGTATGCATAACCTCTGCACCTGCTATATTTCAGTCTTTGGCTTTCTTTTCTGTGTGTGGCCTTAGGAATTTATATTAGATTAAAATAAGAATACCATTGTATAATTTTTGTCCTTAATTATTTCATGGTAATTTTCAGATTTACATTTTCTGTATTTACCAAATTATGAATGGTTACATATAAAAACATACAATACCAAAAAGTTTTAGCCTGTTTTTTTTTATTAGAACATGATTTTTATTTCATCATATTATGGAGGTACAAATATTGTTAGGGTTACAAATATTGCTCCTGCCCCCTCCCTCTCCCCGAAATAGTTTAGAGTAACTCATATGCGTTTATAAGCAAAAATTATATAAAATATGCATATGTTAACATCAAATTTATTTAAAACATATCTAACAAAATTTAGAATTTTCATTGGTGTCACATACATATTTGAAGTTACAAATAGAAAAAAAAAGACATTCAAAAATCAAGTTGAGGCCGGGCGCTGTGGCTCACGCCTGTAATCCTAGCTCTTGGGAGGCCGAGGCAGGCGGATTGCTCAAGGTCAGGAGTTCAAAACCAGCCTGAGCAAGAGCGAGACCCCGTCTCTACTATAAATAGAAAGAAATTAATTGGCCAACTGATATATATATAAAAAATTAGCTGGGCATGGTGGCGCATGCCTGTAGTCCCAGCTACCCGGGAGGCTGAGGCAGAAGGATCACTCGAGCCCAGGAGTTTGAGGTTGCTGTGAGCTAGGCTGACGCCACGGCACTCACTCTAGCCTGGGCAACAAAGCGAGACTCTGTCTCAAAAAAAAAAAAATCAAGTTGAATTTACACCTTAGAAATATTTGCGATTTCTCACTAATAGAGTGACAGAGTTTATGGTTTTTAAATTATAGTTGATGTACAATTACATTTTATACAATTACAGCCATCAACAACTTATATTAAAGACTAAATTGTTATACATTTGCTACAGAAAGATAGAGAATTTCTTATGTTCTGGTGTGGGAAGAAGAAAGATGTTTTTAGTATAAAATTTACTATGGAACACAAAATAGCCAGATGGTACACACAATCCATTTGTTGATGGGCTTCTAGTTCTTTCTGTGCATTGGAAGAAAACCAGGTGATAAGTTAGACAGCAGTTTTTATCTCAGACATTTTCAAATTGCATACATCCTGAGAATAAAGATCTAGAAGATGACTTCCAACTAAAACAAGCCATTCTTAATCAAAGCCACCAAGATTGTATCCTTAATGATCACAAATATTTCATCTTCTCAAGTTTAAATATCTATTCTCTATTGTCTTTTGACACTTTCAGTGTTTTAGAATTTTTACACACATAGTCTTTTTTTTTTTTTTTTTAATTCCTCTTCACAAGATGGGATTGGCAGCAAAAATGAGAGAATAAGTTTTTGCACTTGGTGATTTTTCCAAGATCACAGAGCTAGTAAATATACCATGTGATTCAGATAAAACATGGGAATAGCCAATACTGGGTGTAGAAATGAGCAACATGACAATTATAAAAATAAAAATTATCCCTCATTTTGCTGGTTTGGCTGATTACCACAGTAAACATGGATTCATATGTTTTACTATGAGAAAATTTAAAGAAGAAAATTTATGTGATTTTTTTATGGCATGCATCTGCTTGGGACAGACTGTGCTTTTTAGATGAACAACTTTATCCTGCAGTAAGAAATTCTGGATAAATGTGATATTGGAGCTCAATTAAACTTGATATTTAAAGTCTTTATACTGAAATACTGAATCTATTCATGAACAATTCAAGAATGAGATTTGGCATAAAATCTATTTCATTATATTTCATTATATCAGTGTCTAGCATGGGTACTAATTCACAAGAAAAAGATTTGTCATTTTCCAACATCAGATAGTTATTTGAAGCATATCTGCCCCTGTGGTAAAGATAATTTAAATAAGGAACCTCAGGAAAGAATTATGGATATTTATTAGCTTAAAGATGAAGACTACTCACTTATTGTAATTGAATGGATTATGTTGATCAACATTGGTATTATCTCAATTTTGTAGAAAAATAATAAACTGGAATATGCAAACTCTTCCTGCTGTGGGCCATATTGAATGATAGAAAATAATTGAAATAAAATGCCAAGATATTGGTGGGGACCCATCTGTACCTACTGGTATCTCAATTTTACCTGAGCACCCTTAGGCATTTTAAATGTGTGCCAGAAGGCAGTACTTTTCAAAACATGATGGCTTTTTTTTTTATTATTACTAAAAATAATTCACCAGGGAAAGGAGGAATAATAAAGGCTAAATGTGTGAAGAGGCAGCTCATATAATGGACTAAATCAGGTATAGTATGGCAATGTGTGAGGCATCTTGTATTAAAACTAATTTAAAATGCCATCAGTTACATGAGGATTCAGAACAAAAGAAAACAATCTGTGTTCTGCATAAGCAACCGAGGGCGAGTATGCAATGTGTTGTAAAATGTGCATGAGAAATTAAGGAAAGAACACTTTTTCTTCTGGTCTTCATCTTCCCTCTGGTTCTTAGCCAACCACAACAATTTGTTTCATATTCTTGCTTAGGGCACCTTCCATGGCAGCAGGTGCTTACTCATTTAAACAAATGTCACTTTATTAATAATCACAGCGTAAACATAGGTGACTAACAATCCTTCCTTCTAGCTGTGTGAAAGACAGGCACAGTACCTGCTGGAGATGAGAACCTACCAATTTTGTAAAAATTCACAATATATTTTCACTGTTAAAGCCAGTATAGTATCTACTGGATCCATGTGTTGCCTAAGGATTGGTCTTGGTTTATTCTTGAAGCCTGTTTTGTTTTCAAAGTGTCTTGATTTATTAAAAAAATTTTATGATCATCATAGCTAAAGATCAGTAGTCCCCTATACAAGAAACAGTAATGTTATATTAAACTTTTGGCTAAGTACTAATAGGAATAAACTTTGGAATGCCGGCAAGTTAGAAATGATATCCGACATCATTTCAATCACCTCCCACTTATTAGGATGGTATTTGTGAAGGCTGTAGTCCACACACCACACACTTCATCATATTTGTATATCTTCATGTAGTAGATTGTTCACATACACAATATTCACACACACTCTCTCTCTCCCCCTTTCTCTCTCACTCACACGATCTCTCATGCAATGAAATAGTAACATAATTATTAATAGAAATAAAATTTCTAAAATTCAAGTAAAGTGGAAAAAAACTATGTAATATCATAATATTGTCTTACTTAGACACTAAAGGTTTTTTTTTATTTCAGCATATTACAGGGGTATGAATATTTAGGTGTTTATATATATTGCCTTTGCCCCACCGAGTCAGAGCTTCAAGCATGTCCATCCCCCAAATGGTGCACACTGCACCTATTAGGTGTGAATATATCCATCGCCTCCCAACCAGCTCAACACCTGATAATGTTACTACTATATGTGCACCTAAGTGTTGATCAGTTAATACAAATTTGATGGTGAGTACATGCTTGTTTTTACACTCTTGTGATATTGCACTCAGTAGAATGGGTTCCAGCTCTATACAGGATAATACAAGAGGTGCTAGATCACCACCATTTTGTGTGACTGAGTAGAATTCCATGGTATACATGTGCCACATTTTATTAATCACTCATGTATTGATGAGCACTTGGTTGTTTCCACATCTTTGCAATAGTGCTGCTATAAATAATACAATAGTGCTGCAATAGTGCTGCAATTGTGCTGCTATAAACATTCAAATGCAGGTGTCCTTTTTATAGAATGTCTTTTTTTTCCATTGAGTAGATGCCCAATAATGGGATTGCTAAATCAAATGGTAGTTCTACTTGTATCTCTTTGAGGTACCACAGAGGTTGTAATAGTTTGCAGTCCCATCAGCAGTGTAAGAGTGTTCCTATCTCTTCACATCCATGCCAACATTTGTTGGCAAAAACATATTGTTTTGGGACTTTTTGAGAAAGGCCATTCTCACTGGACATAAGTGATATCTCATTGTGGTTTTGATTTGCATTTCCCTGATGATTAGAGATGTTGAGCATTTTTTTCATGTTTCTGTTGGCCATTAGTCTATCTGCTTTTGAAACGTTTCTGTTCATGTCCTTTGCCCACTTTTTTAATAAGGTTTTTTGATTTTTTTTCTTGCTGATTTTCCTGAGTTCTATATAGATTCTAGTTACCATCCCTTTATCAGATGTGTAGCATGCAAATATTTTCTCACTTTCTGTAGGTTGTTTGCTCTCATGACAGTTTCCTTGGCTGTGCAGAAAGGTTTTGATTTGATCAGGTCCCATTTAATTATTTTTGTTGTTGCTGTGATTGCCTTTGTGGTCTTCTTCATAAATTCATTGCCAATGTCTGTAGGAGTTTTTCCAACATTTTATTCCAGAATTCTAATAGTTTCGTGCCTTAGGTTTAAGTCTGTTATCCACCGTAAGTTGATTTTTGTGAGAGGTGAAAGGTAGGATCCTGTTTCAGTCTTCTATGTGTGGCTATCCAATTTTCCCTGAGAGATGATTCACAAAATTAACGAAGAGATTGTTACAACTGAATAAAACATAAAACCCTGAATACTTCTCAAATCTCTGTTTTGAAGGGAAACTGAGTAGTAATCTAATAATTTTTTTAAAGTGAAGAAAATCTGGGGGAAGCACATATTTTTAGCCCTGGCTTGGGTGAGGCAAATGCATTACATGTAACCAAAATGTTTGTATGCTCATAATAACCTGAATTAAAAATAAATAAATAAATAAATAAATAAACAAAGTGAAGAAAATTGCTTTGTCAGGAATGCCATTTAAATAATTAATTTGCCAATATTTAGGGAAATTACATATGCCCCTTGTCTAAAAAGCTTATAATATCTTTTCAGAATCTCTCTAACACAGATACATAGGAAAACCAGGCATGTGAATGAAAATACTATTAGCAGATAGGAAAAAGAGACTAGATGAATAAAATTTAGTCTATAAACTACTGTGCAATAGTTAAAAGGAATAAACTAGCCTTCTATGTACATTAATCTAAAAGGTCTCAAAAATAATGTTGACTCTAAAAAGCTGGTAAAAATGATGTCTGTCACAAAATCTTTTGTGTAAATTTAAAAATAGAAAAAAGTACAGATATTGTTAGATATAGTTAAGTAAAAAAGGATTAAGAGTTTAATATTAAGATTAGATTAGACATCACATATTAAATATATAAGAATTAGCCTTTGGATTTGTTAGTCTGTTGTATCTTTGGTTGCTGTTTCATTAATTTTTGTTCCTGGTTTTTATAATTTTCTTTCTTGTGCTTTAGTTTATATTATTTATCTTTCCCTAGTGTTTTAAGTTAACTGTTGAATTTATCTATTTTTAGACTTTGTTGCTTCCCAGTGTATTTTGAGTATGCTTTTCTATTTCTAAATCTACATTCTTTTAAAAACATTATTGTTATTTTCCTGACTTTTAACTTACTGTATTGTGGTTAGAAAAAGATACCTGAATAATAATTTCTTTGAATTGGTTAATATTTGATTTATGGTCTCCCCACATGGTCAGGTTTTGTTTGAAGAATAATGTGTATATTTGAGAATAATGCATATTCCTTAAAATGATAGATTTGTTGAGTTCTTATATAAATATCATTTTGCTTTATATATTTTGATGGCAAGTTATTAGAGACATCAAAGTTTAGATTAGTCTGTAAATTCACTCCTTCCTTTATAAATTGAGTCCTTTATCATTGTCTTATGATCTTTTCTATTCTATGTAGTTCTTTATGTCTCAAAGAACTTGCTGTCTAATATTAATAGATGGGCCAGCTTTTCTTTGGCTAATATTTAAGCAGCCTAATTTTCTATCTTTTATCTCTCAGTTTTCCCATGGTTTTATTTTTATGCATGCTTCTTGTCAATAGTATAATCTGGGATTTTTTTTATTATTTAGTTTGACCTTAACTAGAAATTTAACCCATTTATATTTATTCAGGTTAAAGTTATATTTGGGCTCATTGCCATCTTATATCTTGTTTTATATGTTCCTCCTTTGCTTTGTTACTTTTTACTTTTATCACCTTTTCTGCACCTTTTACATTGTTTCTTTAAATCTCATTTTCCCCTTTACCCTTTCAGTAATTAAAATGAAATTGTAACAGATATATTTACCTTAAGGTCTACATTAATCATTATCTCTATTCTCCTTTTGTATAACATATGGACCTTAGAATTTTAAAAATCAAATCACCCTCTGTCCCATCTGACTTATTGTTGTCCCATATTTTATCTTCTCTTTTTCTCCAAATATGATATTTTTTGTTATTTCACACAGACTGTGTGTATTTAGATTTATCCACATGCTTACCACTTTCTTTACTCAACGTTTCTTCGTACTTCTCCAGCTTTCCTTCTGTGGTTATTTTCCATCCTTTAAAAAAAAAAATCAAAAGTTTGTTAAAGTGTGAATCTGTTGGTAGTAAATTCATTCACTTTTAGGTTTTCTAAAAAGGATTTTAGTTTTTTCTTTTATGTTTACTTGTATCTTTTGGTATCATTTCAAATACAGAAAATGTGTAAGAGGAATACAAAGAATTTCTATATATCTTATAACTATGATTTCCACTTATTTACATCTTTCTAAAATGCACATATCATTATCTCTCTTTTTCTTTATTTTCAGTGTTTATTTTATTACTATGTTGACAAGAAAGGTTGTTTTTGCTATGATGTGAGGACTTAAATCAGCCTTATTTATTATCAATGCAAGTTTTCAAAAGAAAGAAAGAAAGGTACCTATGTGAGCCTCTTTGTGGCTTCTAGTAGAAATAGAAATATGGGTTCAAAATATTACCTAGATTGGAGGACGGTCATAGAGCACTCAGAAAAAAATATGATGTGTTGCTATTATAGCAGTCAGTAGTGGATTTGTCTTTGTTTCCTTGTTTATATTTTTTCAACTCTTAAATCCGACAAACTCATATACAAAACTTTCTACCACTCTCATGTACTAATGACAAGAAAGAACCATGTAAATATATTTTTCAAAAAAAGTATTATTCATTTTAATGATAGTCACTTATCTAAGTGCTCGATATAAAGACATCATTTAATTTCTACCATATTGATACTGGTTACATGTTTCCTATTATATCTTGTAGGAAGATATACAAGCATACCTTGTAGATATTGCAGTTTTGGTTCCAGACCACTGAAAAAAAGCAAATATTACAATAAAGCAAGTCAAAAAATGTATTGGGTTACCAGTGGATGTAAAAGATATATTTATACTATACTATAGTCTATTAAATGTGTAATAGCATTATATCTTTAAAAATGTATATACCTTAATTTAAAAATATTGGTAAAAGTGCTAATAATCATCTGAGTTTTCAGTGAGTTGAAATTGTTTTTTCTGGTGGAGAGTCTTGCCTCAATGTTGATGGCTGCTGAATGATCAGGGTGGTGGTTACTGAAGGTGAGTAGCTGTGGCAATTTCTTGAAGTTTGCCATATTAACTGACCTTTCCTTTCATGAAAAGATTTCTGTGTTGCACGTGATGCTGTCTGATAGCCTTTTTACCTGCAATAGAACCTCCCTCAAAATTGGTTTCAATCTTCTCAAACTTTGCCACTACATTATACACTAAGTTTATGCAATATCCTAAATCCTTTATTGTCATTTGACCAATGTTCACAACGTCTTCAGGAGTAGATTCTATCTCAGGAAACTACTTTCTTTGCTCATCCAGGGGAAGCAAATTTTTGTCACTTCAAGTTTTATCATGAGATTGCTGCAATTGCAGTCATATCTTCAGACTTTATTTCTAATTCTAGTTCTCTTGCTATTTCTACCACATCTGCAGTTACTTCCTCCACTCAACTCTTTGGCCCCTGTAAGTCATTCATGAGGATTGGAATCAACTTATTCTAAACTCCTGTTAATGTTAATACTTTGACCTTATTCCATAGATCAAGAATGTTCTTAGTGGCATTTAGAATTGTAAATCCATTATGGAAGGTTTTCATTTAACTGCCCAGATCTATCAGAGAAGTTACTATCTATGGCAGCTATCGTCTTATGCAATGAACTTTTTAAATAGTAAGACTTGAAAGTTGAAATTATTCTTTGATCCATGGGCTGCAGAATAGATGTTGTGTGAGCAGGCATGGAAACATTAATCTCCTTGTATGTGTTCATCAGTGCTCTTGGGTCAATGAGTAGTGATATTTTGAAAGGAATCTTTTTTTCCCAAGCAATCTCAACAATGGCTTAAACTATTCAGTAAACCATGCTGTAAGCACATGTGCTGTCACCAAGTCTTTTATGTGGTTCCATTTATAGAGCAAAGGCATAGTGAGGTTAGCATAATTCTTAAGGGCCATTAGATTTTCGTAATGGCCAATGAGCATTGACTTCAACTTAAAGTCACCAGCTGCATTAACTCCAAACAAGAGAGACACCCAGGCATTGACTTCTCCTTTGTAGTTATGAAAGTTCTAGATTGTGTCTCCTTCCAATACAAGGCTATTTTGTCTATGTTGAAAATATGTTGTTTAGTGTAGCCACCTTCATTAATGATCTTAGCTAACATAGCTTGCTGCAGCTTCTATATTTGCACTTGCTGCTTTAACTTGCACTTTTATGTTATGGAGATGGCTTCTTTCCTTAAACCTTGACTTCTGCTAGCTTCAAAACACACATAATATTCACTAGTTAAATTTGCTGTCTTATATGGGCAAAGTTTGTGATATCCCAAAATTATTTTAGTAGTAGCATCAAAGATCCCTGATCATATAATAGATCACCCTATAGATATAATGATAATAAAAATATTAAAATAAATAAAATATTGTGAGAATTACCAATATGTAACACAAAAATGCAAAGTGAACACATGATGGTGGAAAAGTGGTGCTGATTGACTTACTCAAGGTAGGATTGTCACAAAAATTCAGTTTTTATTTTTTTATTTTTTATTTTTTTTTGAGACAGAGTCTCGCTTCCTTGCCTAGGCTAGAGTGAGTGCCGTGGTGTCAGCCTAGCTCACAGCAACCTCAAACTCCTGGGCTCAAGTGATCCTTCTGCCTCAGCCTCCTTAGTAGCTGGGACTACAGGCATGTGCCACCATGCCCGGCTGATTTTTATATTATATTTTAATGGTAGAGACGGGGTCTCGCTCAGGCTGGTTTTGAACTCCTGACCTTGAGTAATCCACCCGCCTCGGCCTCCCAGAGTGCTAGGATTACAGGCGTGAGCCACCGCGCCCGGCCTAAAAATTCAGTTTTTAAAATGCACAATATTGGCAGAGTGCAATAAAGTAAAGCAGAATAAAAAGAGATGTGTCTATAATTACTCTGTTACAAAGCAAAAAAGTGACAAAGATTAAATTCAAATTCTCTTTGATGCCAAAATCTATGTGTTTTTTTTTTTAATTTTTTTATTTCAGCATATTATGGGTGTACAGATTTTAAGGTTTCAATAAATGCCCATTTCACTCCCTCCCCCACAAGTCTGAGTCTCCAGCATGACCATCCCCCAGATGGTGCACATGTCACTCATTATGTATGTATATACCCGCCCCACCAAATCCATGTTCTTAATCATTATATACACTGCCTCTTATTTTATGTTTAGGTAATAGATAACCTAATACTATTTCATAGGTTTTATATTAAAAAATGGCATTGCTTAACATTATGCCATTAGTAGTATATAGTTTCCAAACAATGTGAGAAACACTGTATATAGTCAGAAAGGTTTGGTTAATTAAATAACTGTTGCTCATTGCTCAAATGAACTACTACTTGATAAAGTGTAAAACAAAACTTAATCTGTAATATATACTTAGAAATAGTATTTATAGCCTTATGATAAGCCATGACTTTTTTTCTGAAATAGAAAAGTTAGGCCCTGTAGCCACTTAACACATTTACTGTCATGTGAGTCGTATTTAACTCATGCTAGTTTTGAGCCCAGAGCCTTGTGAAGCATATGTAACTCACATATCTCTTTATTTTGGGAGCCGCATGGTACATAGGCAACTCATGCTGCCATGATATAGCATACATGTTATGTGATGGGTGGCCCCCTGGGCAAAATCCTGCAGTTGGTTCATGAAAATCTTACTTATTGATGTTCTTACTGTTACAATTAATATTTATAGTTTAATTATAAAAATGTCAATTAAATGAATAGACATCAATAAATTTCATTTTTCTCCTTATGTTTACCTTTAAATTACACTTAAGCCTGACAAATCAAGAAAAACACTAGGGCTGGGTGTGGTGGCTCCTGCCTGTAATCCTAGCACTCTAGGAGGCCGAGTTGGGTGGATCGCTCAAGGTCAGGAGTTCGAAACCAGCCTGAGCAAGAGTGAGACCCCATCTCTACTGAAAATAGAAAGAAATTAATTGGCCAGCTAAACACATATATAGAAAAAATTAGCCAGGCATGGTGGTGCATGCCTGTAGTGCCAGCTACTCTGGAGGCTGAGGCAGAAAGATCACTTGCACCCAGGAGTTTGAGGTTGCTGTGAGCTAGGCTAACGCCACGGCACTCTACCCGGGGCAACAGAGGAGTGAGACTCTGTCTCAAAAATAAATAAATAAATAAATAAATAAATAAAAACACTTTACCCTCATGAACTGTTCTTCAAGTTTTCACATAGGTTTTATATTACTGATTTTCAAGTTTTTATATTATTTTTCATTGAAAAAAGAGAAAACAATAAAATAACAAACTTTCATTAAATTAGAAAGGTTCATTTTATTTTTGAAGTCTTTATTCTACTTTTGTAATAAAATTCTGTGACCCCGAGGAAATTTTTTTTTTCTAGTGTGGCAGTCAATGTGTTAGATCTACTATAATTCAAAAGGAGAGATGATCTATCTTTATAAGGGAGATTGAATTTGGCAAGGTATTGGGAACTTAATTTAAGACATTAAAGAAAGCAAGTTAACTCACACTAATGTTTTTTTTTTATATTTTTATAAAACCCTGAATTATGTTTCCTTTGTATTTATAATGTACTATTTTTAAATGTATTGGTCATTTGCATGTGGCTGGTTTCTGAATTTTCAGTTAATTCAAATACTTACTTCAGTATAACCTGTGGTGTACCTGAAAATAATTTAAATACATGCCTATAACATATATATTATTAATAAAATCATAACCATGTATTTTCAAAAACAAACTGTATGAACATATTAGTAAATGAAAACAAGAAAACAAAACCAAACTCCTATTTCCATTGCAGTTTAATAATAATATGGAAAATAAATTATTGATGCTATTTATTATGCATCTAATAATGGTTTTTAATGTTGCATGGCATATAATTTTGAAAGTTCAGTTGAAAATAGGTGTATGAAATAGATTTCAGAGAAACTGCTTTCCTTTTCATATTGCCGAATACCAAGTGTCATGACTTTATATGACCACTTGATGGAACTGTTTCATTTTGCTTTTAGCAATCTCCAAGCAGTGACAATCTTAAATTTCTGGCAAGGCATGAAGGAGAATTTTTTATTTAAAAAAAGCATAAAGAAACATGTTGCTTAGCATGCTACATAATTATGGTTCTCTACAGAATGTTTGTAAGTCAAGGTATAGAAAAAGAAAAGAAATTCTACTTTTCAAATGAATTCTTGTTCTCATTTTACTTCAAAATATTTTTGTAAAAATTTTATTTTAAGTTATCCTAAATATTTGAATATAGTTATATCCAAAATCATATTGTTCCTTTTAATCAAACTGAAACTCTATTTATGGGATGTCTTCAAAATTAATTTCATATATATATATATATATACACACACACACACACATACATAAAAGAAATTTTGAGGTCTGTGGGGTTAGAGGTTGTTAGGTAGCTATGGAAATTTCCTAGCAATATATCTTAGTTGCAGAAGACAGTTTGGAAAGAAAAGAGAATAACTGTGAGGCAAAGTGTCCAATAAAGTCATATGGAACAGTTAGGAATAACTAGAAAGTGCAGGGAGAAATCACATTTTCTCCATTGAAACTATTGACACTATAGATCATCGAAAGGCAAAGTGTCCAATAAAGTCATATGGAACAGTTAGGAATAACTAGAAAGTGCAGGGAGAAATCACATTTTCTCCATTGAAACTATTGACACTATAGATCATCGAAAGGGCTGTGTATTAGACATCAATCACCTACCCATGATTTTGCCACTTA